AGCTACAATAATTGAAAAAATATCAGAAACAGTATCATCAATCGAAGTTTTATAAATAATATGCCTTGAAGATTTACATTAGATGGATACTAGTTACCACAATGACCAAGTTGTCCTTTAATTTGATTAACATGAAACAATAAGAAGGATCCAATTTGTACTGAAAAGAAAATCAAGTTTGTACTTTAGTGTCTACTTTCTACGATATACAAAATAGATAAGTGATGATGATTTTCTCCCCTTTCTCTAGCTTTTCCTTCCTCGAACCTCTTGTCAAATTTCGGTAAATCTAGATTGTAATAACTCTCTCTTAACAAACATCTATCCTCTGAGTATAGAAGAAATGAACACATGAAGAGGACAAAGGATTAAACAGTAAACCGACAAACTATTATTCCATAGAGATATGATAAACTTATGGTTCCAATCATTGTTTCCACGCGCTCTCACTTGTACAGTTGTACGCCGGAAAAGAAATTATCGGTTTATTTTCTAAGCGGATAAAAGAGATAATTATCAACATCTAATACTACATGGAACATTGGTTTGGCTACCACACTTATTGCAGAGTTAGAAAGGAAAATGGAAATTTGATTCTTAATTTGGGAAACCTAATACAAAATATTTTTGGAAATATTTTTTTTTTACGAAACGGTTAGTTCAAGTGATTTGAAAAACCATGAAGAAGACCAAACGAAGAGGTTTAAGTCTTGGAGACGCTTAGAGTTTTTTTTATATGACGGAAACACAAATGATTTTTAGGTGAAAAAATGACATCGATAGAAATTAATTATGTTATTGTTGCTGACGTAGCTAGTTTCAGAAGCCCTAAATAATTCCTTTAGTTAGAATAATTTATAACAATAACGTAAGTTATTATAAATCTAATGAAAAACATATAGATGCAATTGATCAAACAATTTTCTAAAAAAAATCATGCCCTTTAAGAAACTCCATGAAATCTATATTTAACACTAGCTACAATAACTGGGGAAAAAAAACTCAGAAACAATATCACAAACCAAAGATTTAAAAGTAAAATGCCTTGAAGATATCCATTAGATAACACTAGTCACCACAATGACCAAATCATACTTTCATTTGATCAACATGAAAAAATTAAGAAGGATCCAATTTGTATTGACAAAATAAAAATCAAATTGGTATTTCAATTTTTACAATATATAATATGCTTATATATTATATAAATGAAAATTAGAAAATTGTTTAAGCGTATTTGGCACATGACATTTAAATTGGTGGTAAGTTGAAGAGATTAGGAGACAGGAGCTAGAAATAGTTTGTACATGCGTCATTTATGCACGTGTCAACTCCTGTGTTAACTCTACCAGAAACTCATTCTAAGTGGAAGAGGAAACAACGGAAGACGGGCCCGAGGCCGTGGACCGGGTGTCTAAGAATGTCAAAACTCATTCTTCTCTTCACTTTTATCTCTTAACTATCATCTTGTATGCTACTTGTCGTTCTCTTATTTTAACTTCCTTGAACTATATGATCTAAACAATCATATCCCTGTACCTTTATTTTCATGCAATTCAATAGAAAACCCTTTATC